GAGATAGATTTGTCGAAAAGCCAAAGACTCGCTCTATTAAACTTATGTTATAGGAAGACTTTTTGACATGCTAACGACTGAAACTGCACATGTTTTAATGAATTTTGAAGCTTCGATAAAACCGTCAATTAAAAAGCATGAAAACTCTTTCACGGTTTCCCTCTTCACGCTTTTATTTTCATTGTTTTCCCTTGATAAACTGTCAGTTCATGATTTTATTTCTACAGTTTTGAGCTTTACGATATTTTTTCATGATTTTAATTTCACAGTTCTTAAATTGACGGTTTTATTTTAGGGTTTTCCATCGATGGTTCGAAAGTGGACGGTTTTGTTTCTATGGTTTTAACCTTTACGGTTTTACTTCCATAGTTTTTGTTTTATACTTTTACATTTTACGGTTTTCATACTGTAGTTTTTTACTTCATGGTTCTTCTATACGGTTTTCTTTCGATGGTTATGGTTTTTACGGTTTTTTTGACGGTTATTTTTTCACCGTGCGTACAACGTGTGAAAGTGCCTCGAAGTGATTAGCTTCTTTAATGCTTCATTTGGCAAACAACACACACATTTTTTTAGTTATGACTCTAGCTGACTTACAATCAAAGAAGTGGTCATCATAGGATAAAACCATGAGAACTTGACTTACATAAATGGATAGCCATCGTTGTGTTCGACAATTTAACTCCAACCTGGAGACGTTGGTGAATGAAATTCGACATGACTTTAATAATGGTAATGATGTATGAAATAGCATTAAGATTAATATTTCATCTATGACAAGCACGTATCGAATATTTACTGTTAATTTTTCTAATTTTGTTATTTGCGTCAATAATGAAATAATTTCCTTACTTGAAATATTCTCCTCATAGAAATCTAATTTAATTTCTTTTAAATCTTGTGGTGCTGTGAACGAGTGCTGTTGACTATTTGTATCTATGGCCCAGTTGAACATACTATAAAAATGTTTATAAGGCTTAATTAAAGTTAGATTTAAATATTTTAATTTAGGCATATAAGCAAATAATGCTTCCAGTTCACTGAACTGAAAATCGCTGTTAGGCATTGTTAAATATTCGATTGATGACGATTGTTGATATGGCTGTAGTTGAAGCTTATCAAACTTTGGTATTATATAATTTTCTCTACAAAATGATAAATATTTTAAATTTGTTAAAGGAAATATTTTCGAACACATAAGATCTATTGTATTATCGCTAGGAAAATTGTAAGATGTTTGAAGTGTTAAATGAATCAAATTTGGGAATTTATCTAAGTTTTCTACAACGATCTCCAAATTTTGCACTTTCCAACAACATGGCTTTCTAAAATTTAGTTTGATTGTTTGTAAATTGATCCAATGTCGTGAATTGATTATGAAGAAGCGATCTAGAAAAACAAATACATTCCTGCATCATATGTATAAGATGCCCATGAAAAAACACTTCTAGAAAAATAACTCTCAGAAAACAGCCACATATCTCGAACTTTTCATTCAGTGTTATGCCAAAACTAGTTCATCCCTGATCATTAGAAAATTTCACAAACGTTTCTTATTTTTCCTCTGTACAATGTCTATCCTGAATGTTGGTGTAATCGAGGCCGTTCTCTTCAACATTGCTAATTCAAATGAGAGACTGGAATTTTGGTCCAAGGAATTTTCGGCCCAGACCTAATTTCACGTCGTACTTTCGATCCTGGTCCAAGTTCCCTTCAAACCTTCGGTCCGGTGCCTAGCTGTATTTCTATAAATACTTGCCTTACTGCGTACTGCTGAGCACTACGCATTTAGATGAAATGGCAGTACTCAGCAGTCTGCTTTGATCGCTTTAGGAGTGCTATAGTCATTACTTGTCTAAATAAAGTGCGAACATAAAAAAGCGTAGTACTCTGCAAGATACGAAAACGCTATAACTGTACTGTATTCTAAATTTATACTGTTCAGTACTATGCGGTCCTACTGAGCACTAGACTTTATTACGCTTTATCCCGACAGAGACTAGGGGGAAACTTGGATCTCAGCCGAAAGTCATGGAGGACTTCGGACCTCGGACCGAAAGATCATCGGATTTTGGGGCCGGATCGCAGGTTTGGGCTGAAAAGTCTCTTGGTCGAAAGTTATGCAACCCATTCAGATGAACGACATGAAATGAAGCTACTTACTGGTTCTAAGACCAGATAAGAGAAATTTTGCGAGATCAGCTGGTGATGGAAAATATGTTGGCTTTCCATCTTTTATTGTTAATGCTTTAATATGTTTTGTATTTATATATGGAATAACATAATCAAATAAGATATCCAGTCGAATAAGAGATGAACATTTGAAATGGAGTGAACTATTTTTAATCAGAAGATGAAAACGTTTATTTAAATAATAAAAACTATTGTAAATTTCGTTCCCATTTAAATAATCGAAAATATTGTATATAAGTTCATTGGGTAGTTGTTCGAATTTTCCCATTCTGAACGGCATATCCTGATATGATCCTATGATGTTTAGTTAGTCGTTTTGTTAGTGAATGTTACACGTTTGTTGGAACTTTCTCACGTACTTCCTTCAGAAAATGAGATGACATCATCATTTATTATGATTATCATGCGAAAGAGAATAAAAAGGTAGCTTACTGATTCATACCTTTATGTTTTTAATGTGCCAATAGAAGTGCAACAACATTACGCTATAATTATGAAGAAAAGAAGAAGAAAGAAATAAGAACAGATGTGTACGAAGAACAAAGCAGAGGAAAAATAGTTTTTATTTAGAAATAAAAATGTTCTTCAACATGCAAGATATAAACATGTTTCTGTTTTGAAATTCGCCGAAGTATTTTTTATTAATCCATATTTCTTTAACATAAGAAGAAATCATAAATAAACCATCAAATATAATTTAGAGGTTTACGTTGTAAAGAAAACATACGCAACGACATTTAGCCAGATCTGCTATTCAGCTTGTTCAAACGTGACGAAATTACGTTTTTGACGCACAAAACTCTAGTTTTTTCGCGAACTAGACGAGCTAGAAAGTTGATTCTAGCGTCATTCGACACAGCTTTTGGACTTCCAGCTATGGTAAAAAAATTAAGTTTCTCGGAATTAATGTCAAGGTTTCAGCAATTCCAGCAAGAGCAATTTTACGGAGTGTGACGAAATTACAAAAAAAGGCCGCAAATTTTTGATTTTACTGGTAAAACTGTAATTTCTTGCGAAGTTAAGGATCCAATCTGAATCGTCCTAGAAAACATTTTATAGAGCGCCTCTCGGGCTATCGACTAGTTAAAAAAAATTTTGCAAAACGCTTTTCCAGAGCAATAAAATGCTTATTTTATTTCGTGACGAAATTACACACTTTTTCAGTTCTATACATTTTTGCATTAGTATGCATAAAACTCAGCTAAATCCAACTACAATGAGTACGAAAAACCCTTTTTACTGCTTACAAAGTCGGCAAATATTTCTATTTTGCTCGTGCGCTTCCTCAGAGTCTAATTAGTTTTTATCTTAAAGGACTCTCTTTCCATTTATTTTGACTTAATTCAACTTTTTTGGAGGATCTTGGCCATGAGTATCGAGAACATGCAATCTCAGATACCGTGTTTCGCCAGCTCGGGACGAGGACCCGGCCTTCTTTGAACTCGGTAATTTTTTTATAGTAATATTTAAGAAGGTTCAATGTAAGAATTATCTTTTTTTGCGTTTTTTTTTCTTCTTTTTTTCCTTTCTGCCTAATCAAAAATCCTGGCAAAGGAACATCTTTAGCTTTTTATTAGCTGCTAACACACTCACACACCTAAAATAAAACAAAGGTAAGAAAACAAGTGAAATATATGTACAAACAAGTGTGATAAAAAAATTATTCTAGTGCAATTACCACTGCTCCCAAATATACTGTCAATATTTAATAGTTTTTTTTGTGGAACTTAAAGAGTAATAGCGTGTTTCAATGTAGTTTCTGTCAATCACTTTTACTGAATGAGTTTTGAGAGTTTCAGGAACTTGTTTCGTAGCTTTAAAGATATTTTCAAGTTTGAGTTTTGAGTTATCAATGTGATTTTTTGTGATTTTCATGAGAATTATCCAATTACTTTTTTTCTTTGCAATGCGAATGAAATCGGCAGCGGAACGACAAACTTTACGTCCAAGCACAGCAGACCAAACTACTCGTTTCGCAACTCCTCCAATCGCATCAGCCGTGCCTTTCCCATGACTAAGTGCATGATGCGTCGTTCTTTTATGCTTAGCTTTCGGCAAAATATAAGGGGTGAGTGTGTAGATTACATTTTTCTCTCTCGCTAGTAAATTAGGCTTTCCTTTTCTTTCCAGCTCTCTCAAAGCAACGATCACAATACACGCAGGAGACAGATGGGCATAGAGCTGTGGAAGCGTTAAGTACACTCTGTATATAGAAGGTCAACGAGTTCTATTCAAACATGATGCTCTACGTGTTCGGTAAATTTAGTGGCAGATCTGAGTAGCACACGTTTAGTTGACCAGTACTCTTTTATTATTTCGCCTATCCAGTAAAAATAGCACTCTACAATTCAGCTAAAAAGTGTTACCACTGATTAAGTTTTCGTAATTGTGTCACGCTTTTCTACGATTAAATACACTTGTTTAATGGAAAAAAGTAGTTCGTTGGATTCGCCGTTAAAAACTGATTATAGTAAACGACTTTTTTGGTGGAAAGTCAATGGTTCGTATAACAAGATTTTTAAAATTAGGTGTTTTCGTGACGCAATTACATTGAGTTTTATTAAGTATTTCTTCAGCCACTGTGAGATAACAAAGCAACGGATTCAATTCGTTCTTGCGCCAAAAGAAAGAGCGTGATCGATTGTCTATGGACCATGTCTGAAAGAATTCCTATCTCGATTTTTTAATGTTAGAAAAGTCTAAAAGAAACACACTAAAAAAATGTGATTCGCAAACTTGCATTAAACTGATTTTGTGCAGCGTTTTTATAATTTCAGCTTTGCTTTAGGCCCGTAAAAAGCACACTTCATGACACTATCGGATGCGCTGTACAACGTGAAACTAATGATTTTGTTCAATTTCGAAAAAAATACTTGATCAGCGAAGTGTCGCGTTACGTGGATAAGCTGATTAGTATCTTGTTTTGTCTCATGATTGAATCAGCCATATGTAAACATACGTTTACCAATGAAAAGTGTTAAAACTTGACTTTCAATTCTTGCAGCTGCGATGGCACTACACGAAATCAATCTCCCTTTTCTTCCCAACCATATGTTAAATTCTGCTTAGAATGTGTAAGTAACTGTGGCCTGTATCATGCCGAATGCTATAAAAATATTCCATAACGATGCAGACATTTCGACTGAGGGCGTTTTATATGTTTGTTTGTTCGTGTATGCGTGCTCTCCTACATTAAGTGCGTTAAATGTTTTTTCTCTTCTGCCTGTGCTCTGGTTTTTTTTTCTTTCTTAAAACATACTCAGCATGATTCATGCTGTAAAGTGTTATTTATTGAGACTATCCAAAAAAAGAGGCTTGACAATTTTAGTCACTTTTTGTATAATAAGTAATAAGATCAACATCAACTGAATTTTCAACATTTCGTCAGTATTTTCCCATTTACCTGACCTTTCATTATTGTGCATTTTTTAGTAGTATGCATTGAGTAAAAATATGACTAAATGGTTTATCCTTCTGGATCTGGCAACAGTTTTAGGATATATAAAGAGCAGAACTAAACATGCTATACTATTTAGTTTTGGCTGATATCTTAATATCATTAAAGATTCTTTGATGAGTAATCGATAAAAATTAAATCTGTCTATAAAATTTACCATTAAACTGTTATACATCTGATTTAGAAATGCCACCTGTCTAGTGATTTGAAAACAAATATGCATCGACGTCTATCAAATGTAGCTATAGATTTCTCATTGTTCGATAATCTATCAAAAATGATAAGTACTATGAAAATCCAAATTCTCACTTTCAAATGATTCAGGCAAAAAGTCCACTTACTAGACTCTTGTGGTGATTTCGTCTGACAATTTAGTAATTGTATGCAAGAAACTAACAGAAAATAGCATGTTGTCTCTCGTATTGCATCGTCATAAAAAAGAAATTTATGAAATCGTACACTTAACTACATTAGTGGAAAAACAAAAATTTCTATAACTTGAAAAATACCTGCATGTGGAAACGGATTGATATAAAACGAAATGCAAGAAGCCGAATCAGCTATCGTTCGCAACAGGTTTTTTATCATCAATTTTTGTTTTTGATTAAATTACATATCGTTCAGCATCTTTTTTAACTAATGTCGCTTTTGTCTGTTAATCAGTTAATGGATTACACTTAAATAACCACATTCGGCCTAATATAAAATCGTATTGACCACCTAGTGGTACATGATAATTCTAAATTTGTTAATTTTTAATTCAGATATTGTTGTTGTTGTTTCAGACGTGTGTCCATCCGCTACACTAACCGACATTTCACGAACTAAGGGAGCGTTTCAAAATTCTTGCCGTTCTCTCTGCCGCTCTGCCGTTCTGCCGCTCTGCCGTTCTGCCGTTCTGCCGCTCTGCCGCTCTGCCGCGGCATAACGGATTATTTTTAATGACATTTCAATATATTATCGGTTTCTTTTGATATATGTATACGTATACACGCAATTTATTTTGGTAGATAAATTTATTGAAATTGTCTTTGCGATTTACGATTAAATGCAGAAATAGGAAAAAGTATAATAATGTTCTTCTTATTTGTATATGTAGAGTAGTGTACTATATAAGCATTTCTCAACTATTCCGAAATATTAAAAAAGACAATATCATGATAAGTCGGTACTATGTTTTATTGTTAGTATTGGGTATATATGTCTTTTGATCAATACTACTCAGTTAGGCAGGTTTTTTTTTTGGGAAAATACAATCTAATATTTCTTTTATAAGTGCAAGAGAGCTATGCTTCGGGAGCTATGCCTCTATTCTGAGATTATTCGTGTATTCCACTATTACACAACATTTCATTTTAGAATAATTTTTATATAGATGTATACAGAAACTTTATTTTCTTTCTAATTGATTACTTCTTCAAAGACAATTAACCGCTATGTGTCAAAAGATTATTCTTTTATCAACCTATACATATACTTTTCTTTTACAGTTTATTCTACTCTGACACTATTTAGACTTTCCTGAGCACGAAAACATCTGTCCACGTTGTCGAGAGAAAATCTTCTGATTGAACAGATAACACAATCGTTGCGTTACAATTCCTTTACACCAGTCATCTATGTGGATTTTAAACAAGCCTTTGACATGGTATGGCAACAAGGCTTGATATTAAAATTGTATAAGTTAGAGTGCCCATATGCATACCTTCTGTGGATCACGAGATATTTTCAAGACAGAACTATTATCATTGATCACAATGGACATCTTTCAAATGAAATTGACGTCCTACGGGGTGCTCCACAAGGTTCTG